GCTTTGGCTGGGTGAATGTGTCCTGGTGTGGCCTCAGACTTCTCTTCCACCCACCCCCACACCTTGGTGAATGTCAAGTGAAGGTCAAGTGCTGCAGCCCTGAGCCCAGAGGTGTGGTTGCCCTCCCACTGTGGCTCTTTGTTTTCATTTCATTTGTTTATTTATTTTGGTACTGGGGATTGAACTCACAACCTTGTACTTGCCAGGCAGATGGTTACCTTGTCCTTGTTTTAATTTTCATCAGTGTACCTTGCCCTAGAACCTGCATGCTCTGGGATGGCATGCCCCCATCTCTCCCCAAACAGCCACAAGACTGTGCACAAGACCAGGGAGATGGTGGGCTCAGAGCCTGGCTGCAGCAGTCAGAGTCCCCTGGCCTGTTTGCTGTGTGCCAGAGGCAGGTGTGGGTACTGCAGGGAAGAATGGTTTGGGCTGAGGATCTGAGGCACTCAACAAGGCCCTGGAAGCACAGGTGATTCGGAAAGGACCCTTTGGCCAGTTTCTTTGCTGTTAGGCTCCTGGAGGGAACCCCGGTCAGGCCTCAGACCCCAACCCTATAACACATAAAAAAGAATGGAATTTTGCAATTCAACTAATTTTAAATCTAAACAACACCCAATAGTGAAATACAAGTGTCTTTTAATTACCGACATGAAGCCTTGAGGTTGAGATAGTGCTTTAAACTAAAAGCAATTTATTTTTGTGGTACTGGGAACTGAACTCAGGGCTTGTAGAGTGAGCTAAACCCCCAGCCTTTTAAAAATTGTTCATTTTGAAATAGGGTCTCACTAAATTGCCCAGTTCCCCAGCCCAAGAAAACATAAATAAATAAATAGCCCAGGCTGGGCTCAAACTTTTGATTGACTCAACCCCTTGGAATTATGGGTGTGAGACACTAAACCCAGTTTAAAATCAGTTTTATCTTTTTGAGACACAGCTTCACTATGCAGTTCAGGCTGGCCTTGAGCTTATTTTGTAGCCAGGCTGGCCTCGAACTTAAAGCAATCCTCCTGCCTCAGCCTCCCAAGTGCTGAAATAAAAATCAGTTTTAAATAAGGAAACCAATTCTGTGTTTTCACTGACCATGGTTAGAAGGCTCAGTGGTCCCATACAGCTTGTGGTGTTGTGCTAGACAATCAAGTTCTGGAACATTCTGTCATCCCAGAGAGTGCTGCTTAGTTTAGCAAAATGAAGGATATAACAGGTTCTGTGTGACTACAGCAAACCCAGAGGCTTGAGAGGCAACACCTTTGTAAACAGGTCAGGGATGATTTGGGAAACTGGTGACGGAGATGGCAGCAGTGGCCAACAGTAACCAGCCACAGTGACTAAGGACATGAGAGGCTCACTGCAGTCCAAGGAACATGTCCCAAGATGGACTTACAGGTAGAGCTGAAAGATACAGCACTTTCAGGACAGAGGTGACCTATCTATGTATAGGTGACTATGCTGGCACTATGAACAAGCAAGGGGTAGGATCAGCAAGGGACACTGAACTCCAGTCTCATCAAACACCTCTACAGGACCCCCAAACCAGTGTCTTCTGGGAAAGACCTATGTAGGTGATCATAAACTTCAGTGTGATGTCTCTGGTTGGTTATATAAGCAGAAACCACAGGTAGGATTAGTAGAGTTGCAGGATAGCTAGTCAGGTTAGGTTATTCTAGGGACCTTAGAGAAATAAATGTGAATAGGGCCTCAGAAAACAGGCAAGTGTTCTGAACATGCAGGAAATAGACTTGATCTATTACACGAACGGACCAGAAGCAGTAATTGCCCACCTGTGAGTAAATGTACGCATACAGGACTAAACCTGAGTTTCCAACAACTAGTGCTAGGGAAAGGAAGGCTATATCCTGAGAAGGGCCGGGAGTTAACTCAGGAGTGGGATCCTGGCAAAAGGATCCCACTGCTGTGACAAGCATCTGTTAAAAACATTAACAGTGGGGCCGGGGGTTTAGCTCAGTGGCATAAGTGCCTGCTTGGCAAACTCGAAGTCTGAGTTTGATCCTCAGTACCAAAAATATAAATAAAATAAAATAACATAAAATAGAAATTACACTGAAGTTAAGCTCAAAGGATTTATTTATTTATTTATTTAGTATTTTTACCGGTACCAGGGATTGAACTCATGACTGTCTGCTTGCAAGGCAGGCCACTTATGTCACTGAGCTAAATCCCCAGCCCCAAAGGATTTATTAAAAACAAAAAACAAAAAACAAAAAAACCCCCCACGAACAACCACCTTTGACCTCACTAGATGTGATGAGCATTGAGGGTGATGCTGGGAGAGGGAAGCATGAGATAGGTAATAGTTTCACAGTGAGGCATCATAATCAGCAAGACCTGTGACAGACAGGCTTCTCAGCCTTAGAATGCCAGAATGACATCTGCAGGAAAGGGGCGGGGGCTGTAATTGACAGAGTTGATGAACACAGCTTTTGCAAACCTTAGGGCTACATCCTTTGCAGATATCATAGGTCAAGATCTGGATTCTAGGTTAGGAAATATAAAGATGTGAGAACACAGTCCAGCAGAGCAAACAGCCCTGTCCTCTCTCAGGTTGCACAGGGATTTAAGTTTCCAGCAAACGACACATTCACTGGTAGGACACAGTAGGAGGATATATAATTAGGGGAGCAAATATGGACCAACCAGTTTTGGATAGATAATAAAGTAGACAATTATGATTTTTTAAAAAATCTTTTTGACACAGTCTTGCTAAGCAGTTTGGGATGGCCTTGAACTCAACTTTGTATCTCAGGCTGGTCTCAAACTCATAATGATACTCCTGCCTCAGTATGAGGAGGGCTGGGATTATAGGTAATTTTAAAGGTTATTTACTTTTTTTTCTTCTGTGCTGAGTATCGAACCAAGGGCCTGTGTGTGTGTCAGTAAGTGCTTTACTACTGAGCTACATTTTTATTTTCTTTCTGAGGCAGGATCTGGTATGTAGTTCAAGCTGGCGTTTAACTATATGGTCCAGACTGGCCTCAAATTTGTGATAATCCTCCTGTCTCAGCCTGGGTGCTGGAATTGTAAGTATGTGCCTCCACACCAGGCATACAGTTAGTTTTTAGGTGTCATAATAGAGTTGCATACTTATTTAGCATGTTTGAGGGCCTGGGTTAGATTCTCATCTGTGGCAGGGTGTGTAGCCTCTCCAGGGGTAATAAGATCCAAACTGGTAAGGCTATTATTTGGAGGAAAATAAAATTAAACATTTAGGTATTCTTTATAATCAATATACTAAACTGTTAGGAAGAACTGACTTTACAAAGCCCGGGTAGCACAGGATGATATATAAATTTGAGGTAAAAGTATCTCAACTCTCAACTCTGGGGGTACCTGCCTGTAATCCTAGCTCTTGGCTGGTGGGGGTATGGCAAATTTGAAGCCAGCCTGCACCACATAGCAAATTCAAGGTCATCCTGGATTAGTGAGACCCTGTCTCAAAAATACACCTCCCCCAGACATCAGGAATCCAGTACCCTCCCAGCCCCACCCTAGGGCATACAGTTGGGTGGGAAGTTGAGGTCAAAGTGGAGGTCAGGGAGCTGGATTCCAGCCATTCATGCTATAAACAGGGGGAAATGGGATCAGGGAGCTTGTCACAGCTACAGGGCCCAACCACTCAGGAAGTCTGAGTTGGTCAGTAAAGTGGGTTAGATTCCCAGTCATGGTAGTGGCCTGACTCATCCTGAACAAACAAGGGATGCAGTATAACAAGATAAGGGCTAAGTACCACTGGGACTGCAGGGGAGCAGGAACAGGCCGATAGGGGAACTGCAGGGGCTGCCAGACACAGAGGCACCAATTTTAGGAGTGGTCCTAAGGATCTTGCCCAAGGCCTGTTGGTTGAAAAGAGGGCACCCCACTGCACACCAGCATAGACTTCTACACTAGGGAATCTCTGCAGGGAAGGTTAAGGGGCGTTGGGAATCACAGGCAACATTGAAGACTAAAGTAGCCAGCTGTGGAGTCTGGTTAAGTAAAAAGTATTGGCTTACAGAAGACACAAAAGGCTAACCTCGTATTCCTTGGAGTAACTCACACAGCCAAACTATGCTCCTCTTGTCAGGTTTTTGGTCATAGGGTTAGGCTGGGAGTGCTCACACTAATTCCTTTAGGCATGATCCAGGCAGAGTCTCTTTGCGGTTCAAGCAGCTCAGCTCGAGACTTGGGCTGATCTCTTCCAATGTTCAGAAAACAGCCTTCCTTCCCTACAGATCGCCAGGGCTCTGAGAGACCCTCTGCCATTACCAGGCCTTTTTTTTTTTTTTTTTTTTTGTCTTTTTCCTTTTTATCGGTACCAGGGATCAAACTCACGACTGCCTGCTTGCAAGGCAGGCGCTTATGCCGCAAAACCCCAGCCCCATTACCAGACTTCTACTGGGATGTGGTTGCCCTAAGGCTTGCCAGGAGGCACAATCTATCAGCGGAGAGGCCCTCATCATCGGAGTGGACACTTGACTCAGTATCTATTCCCTGTCTCCAGAAAAATCAAGTAGAAAAGCAGCTGTGACCCTGCTACTGGCCCACTGGGTGAACCCATCAAGACAACCAGTAGTAGGAGCTAACCTCCTCGTTTAGCTGTGTGGCCCGGATGGGCCCCTGGATTTGTAAAATGGGCCCATTGTTCTGCTTGAGTGTGCAATTGTCATGCTAGTAGAGTGCCTCCGGTTACAATCCAGGTCTCCCGGCTCCACCCCGCCCTCCCCCACCGCAGCTCTCCAGTTCAGGGAGGGCCCAGAACTAGTTTTTAGAAGGCTCCTCTCAGACTGCTTTTCTAGATTGTCTGGGGCCGTCCTCAGACTTAACCAAGGGCTTAGACCCCAAACTGCCCACCTGGAGGTGGCCTTCCAGAGCTGTCCTCTCCTTTTAGGACTTAGGAGGACGCTGGAGCCCCTCCCTAGGGCTAGAAGCATTTTAACCTTGCCCTGACCTTTGAAGCTGCTATCAGTAGGAGGTCATTCTTGGCTCTATACTCATTCACAGGATTAAGTTGGAAAAACAATCTCTTTATTTAACGTACCTAATGTAGGGTAGGGGACTGCAAAAGGGGTCAAGGATGAGGAAGCTTGGCCCGAGACAGGGTGGGCGGTCACAGGTCTCACTGGTGCAGGTTCCGCAGGACACCCCGTTCGGCGGCCGCACTGCCCAAGATGAATCCCACAGCTAGGGACACGGTCTGGTCGAAAGAGCCCCGAAGCTGCTCCACGTGTTGGTTCAGGGCCACCAGCTGGTCACGCAGCGGGCCCAGAATCGCCACGATGTCACCGAGGTGCGTTAAGGTCTGCAGCACCGCGGCATTTAGCGAAGGCGGTGTGGGACGCGGGGGTGCGCGATCGTCGGGGCGATAAGGCGGGGTGTCGGGGCTCTCTGGGGAGGGATCGGGGTCCGGAGGGGGTGGGGACCCTGGGGCTTGGCCAGGATCGGGAATGAAGGTTCGGAAGGCTGTTGGGGCATGGGCCATCGGAGATCCGGGGGCGCAACAAGGCTCTGCAGACTTTGGCGAGGAGGGGTTGAACCTGAGCAGGCAGGCGGGATCTGCGTCGGGGTCCCGGGTGGCTGACTGCGGCGCGCCGCCTGCAGAGCAGAACGCGTGATCGGCGGGGCTCCCTGAGTGCCATCCCCCACGCCACGCGACCCGGCCTCCTCCCTTCCCACCTACCTGGTTCCTCGAGGAAGCGCGTGGGCACTGCAGGGGTCCGGCGTCTGCCGCGCTGCGGCCGTCCAGGCCCGGGAGGGCGACGGCGGACCCGCCTCCGTCCGTGGTCGCCCAGCAATCCCATGAGTTCACGGATCTGCGCGTCGAAGGGCCCTGACGGCTGGCCCTGAGCGTCGCGAAGCTTGTCTTTCAGGAATTTGTAGCGGCGGCGGCACTGCGCGGGCGTACGCCGCACCTGCTGGCGGGCCAGCGCGGCCGACACGCGGCGGTAGGTGGGCTGTGCCTGGCGGCGGTCCAGCAGCAGAGAGCGCCACACGGTCGGCTGCAGCAACGTGCCGAGCAGGAGCTCCGTCTCACGTGCGCTCCAGGGCGTGCGCTGCGCCGAGCCCGGGGACACGGGCGACCTGGGCGACTCGGGCTCCGCCAGCGCGCTCGGCGTAGCTGGACCCGCGAGGGGGGTCCCCGGGCCGTCTTCGGCCGGCCGAAGGTCTACGTCGGGGCTACTTGGCGAAGGCAGCGCGTGGGGCGCGAGCGGAGGAGGCCGCCGGGGCCGGAGTAGCATCCCGGGGCGAGCCTAGGCACAAGGCTCCGGGTCAACGGCCGGACCGGAGAGGCGGGCGCCGGCGAGCCGCCCACACACGCTCTGAGGTCCCTGCGCCGCAGCCAGCCGCGTCGGGGCTGTCCTACGCGACCCTCCCACCGTCGGTCGCTTGGCTCCGCCCCGGCCCGCCCTCTCCGGCCGCTCAGTTCACGTTGGCTGGTCCTTGCCCCTTGGTTTTCTAGCTCTCTCGTTGGGCAGTGGAGACTGGGACCCACAAGGAGCAACCCATAAAACAGTAGGGTCCTATTTTCAAAAACAGTTGTACATTTCATTATTGTAATGTGCGGAAGCCGCGTAAGGGTCACATGGCATTTACGCACATTCCATGTCCTTTCACGACTACTAGACAAACCGAATGCAGCCCAATGGGCGTGGTATCGCAGGTCTGCAGTCCCAGCCCTGGGGAGGCCGAGGCCTGGAATCAGAAGTTAAAGGCCAGCCTGAGCTAAAGTAAGTGAGTTCAAGGCCGGCCTGGACTACACAGCGAGACCCTATTTTAAAACAGACAAACGCAAAATAAAATTAACTGTCTGAATCAGTGGAAAACTGCCGGCACTCCAAAATGCGCCGCCTTCCTTTCTGTTTTTAGTGGACTCACATACAGTATTTCATGTTGTTCATTGGTAAAGGTGGTGCATGTGCTGGCTCTGCTGTCATTCCGTACTTCAGTCTGGTTAAGGATTTTTGGCATATACACATGAGGTATACCTATATTAACTCTTCAGGAGGTGTTCGTCACACTGGAGTGTAAAGTATAAAGCTTTGGTACCAGGTCTGATAAAGTGCTTTGGTCTGCTTTTGAGTTTAGTATTGTAATTCACACCCTCTCCAGAAACTTCTGTAATCTGACAAAATGCACATAACATCATGGGTAACAAGATATTGGACATTTTCCACCTTTGATCAGTCCAATATCATTTTTGTTCACCATTATTCTAAAAGACCTGTTCAGTCTTCTGCAAATGAGGGGACTGTGTACACTGGGAGCACAAAATTTTCAAGCAGTAAATGGCAAATGTGAAAAGATGCTCAACAACATGCATGGTTAGGGATATAGGCACCACCACACCTCCTCAGAGTGGCCCACAGTGCTCTGACACTGTCAAGTGCTGCTCAGGATGTGGAAGGACAGGTCCTCTTCTCAGTGGTGGGGGGAACCTCAAAAGCCACTTTGGAGTCAGCCTGGTCTAGTGGTTTCTTGTAAAACTAAAGTATCCTACAATCCATCAGTCATGTGTCACTGTATTTATTTATTCAACAGTTAAAAATTTATGACCACTGAAAACCTGTACACAGATGTTTGTTTATAGCAGCTTTATTTGTAATTACCAAAATGGGCATGAAACAGGTGATGGGTGAACACTGGTGCACCATGCTGTAGAATGCTACTTGGCCCTTGATCCATGTCAAAACAGGAGATGTTCTAATTGTCTTTTGTCAAATGAAACATCAAGGCCATGCGGTTACCTACTCCATGATGCCATATACAAGAGATTCTGAAAAAGAGAGGAGGAAGGGTGGGCCACAACAGGATAGTTATGTCCATGGAGCCCCTGCAGTGGTTTTATTTATTTCTATTTTTGCTTTGTTTTGATGATTTTATTAGACCCTGTGTAGTGCACAGCTTTTGTTTATAGAGGAGTATACTGGGCAGGGGGTGGGGAGTGGATGAGCACTTCCTTTGGAGAACTGCTCAGTGTGTTTCCAAAATGGATCAGCAAAGGTTGGAGGACAGGACAAGTGGGATGGGCCAGGTCCCAGCGTGTATCAGTGAGACTCCTGCTGTCCGTAGCAAGGAGACACTTCCCTCGTGATCAGTGGGCTATCCAGTGGAACTGTGCTTTTACAGACAAGAGATCATGTCTTAGAGGGAAGCTGACCACTCAGCATCCTATGGTTGACATTTTAGTAATCTCTTTCGGGCTAATGAAGCACTCCAACATAGCATTGAAGACCAGTGCCATTTTATTAGCTGGTGATTCTGTAATCAGGGGCCCAGATGAAAGTGAAGAATTACTTGTCTGTATCCCTTATGCCTTGGGTAGTGTTTCTGGCATGTAGCCTGCTGTTTTTGAGGTCTTCAGGCTGTGTTCAAGTGCCATGTGTTGGTACTGGGTAGCTCCTGAGCTGGCCAGCTGCATCTGGTGGGGCTGCTCTGTCCATGCAGTCCACATGTGGCCAGCTTAAGTTTGCTTCCAGCATAGTAGCCTCAGTGTAACTGTGCCCCTTTTGTATTGGCAGCTTTCTCACATTGGAAGGAGCTACAGGGGAAATTTAGGAGCAGGGCTAACTGGAGGCTCAGGGAATTGGATCCTGTCATTTTGCCAAAAACCAAGATTAGGAGACCTGTTGCAATTAAAGGAGATCATTCCCTTTTACCTGTGCAGTGTTTAGTGTCTTTCTAGGGTCTAAGGACTAGGGTTTCTGTCATTTTAAGGTGAGGATCCAGACTACCCACCCAGAGAGGCTGTCCAAGTGAATGTAATTTCAGTTTTATTTGCATAACTGCCAGGCAGATAGCTGTATGGTTGGTTATGAAGTTTGCTAAAGGCTTGTCAGCTGTTCCATAAAGAGCATCCATAGTTTACACCCAACCCCTGGCCTTCAGCCTCTATCTTTGTGGGGTCCACTTAACCAATTATGTTAAAGTATCACCTTTCACAGGCAGGAGTGTCCCCACTTTGCCCTTTCTCCAAGTTAGGACAGAAGCTCCGGTGGGTAAACGAGAGACCCAGCTCTGCCTTTCCCATAACTGCCAAGTGTGAGTTGGTTGGTGTGGCAGAACAAATTCAGAGTGAGACTTGATTTTGGGGATGTGCAGTATCTGTGAGGGGCAGTTTATTTCCTGAAACAGGAGAGTAAGCTTGCTCTTCATATGCCAGGGAGTTTGAATGTCTTGGCTCTCTTGATGGGGGTTGAGTTAGAAGTGACTCTTCCAGACCTAGCCCCTGGTGCCACTGGGGGTATGTGATCAAAACTGTCTCTGTGACTGGCAGTTCAGGTTTCAGTTAAGGGCCAGGCACTCACCTGCCATGAGTGTTTCTAAGGCATCTATAAAGTGATCTTTACCTGGCAAGGAAGGCCCCCTTCATCTCAGAGTAGGGATTCCATGGAAAAGCACCACACAGCAGTGGCTTGGTAGAAATGATTTTATTTAGAAATCTGTACCATGTGACATCAGGGTGCCATGCAAACAGTGCTGAAGCCAAAGCCTGGTCACTTTCCCATGAAAAGTTGTTGCCATTGAAATGCTGATTGGTGCTGGATGCCATCTGTGTGAAATATAAAATCTGGAAACATAAACATTGATCAGCAGAACATAATCCTCATAGAAAAGCCTGAAAACAGGGAGGCATATGTGCATGGTGGAGATGAGTTCCTCTTTATGTCCATGTAAGCAGGGTCTGGTGCCCCTCAATGAGTATATGTGGGAGAATATACCTTGGCATTAAAAAGTCAACGTTTTGTCACAAGTCACAGCCTTCCTAGAAATATGACTAGCTGGTTCACTAAGGAATCATTAACTCTAAAACATAGAACAACCTTGGGTGGTGGCAGGAAATACCCAGCATGGCACCAGGCAGCTGAGAGGTCTGGTGCTAGTGTGGGGATCTGACCAGCCGAGTCTACATGACTCACCACACTCTGGCTGTCTTATTCCCAGGCCCCTGGCCACAGAGGCTCCCTACTCACTGAGCCACTTTTAATATCGGCTGTTGGAGTCCAGAACTCAGGGAAGGGCTTGGTACAATCGAGGTGGCAGACTTACATCCTGGTCTGACAGAGCGCTAGTGGCAGTGCACAGCCAAGGGAACACAGTGGATAAGGAGTGTGCATGCGTGGCTGCTAACACAGGGAGGCAGCCCTGTGTTCCCTGGGCCACAGGGCAGATAGAGCGACACTCTCAGGGTCCATGGGTGGCGTCCCTGCTCATCGATGTCTAGTGCCCTTTTCTAGGGAGTGGAGCCTTTGCAGAGCCCCTGGATCACTGTGGCTCTCCTAAGCAGGGATGAGGGGAAGGCACAGGAAGGAGCAGCCGCCACAGCAGTAACCCTGGCTGGGACCGAGGCTGCTTTCCCTAACTGGCTTGGCAGCTGGGGGTGTGGGATGGTGGAGGGAGGATAGGGTGGGTGGGAGTGTGAACCCAGCAGGCCCAGTTTGTATGGAAGCTTTGGGCCTTGTTGGAAGGTTTTAGGGCCCTGGAGCCCGTGGATTCAGCACTGAGTTTTTTGGTCCTTTCTTTTAAGCAAACATGGAAATACTGCTTAGCAAGCAGCTAAGTTTGGTATCTGTTTAGTCAAAGGTGAATGGGTGGGGGTTTTTTCCTTTCTTTTTCTTCTTTTTGCAAGGATCACTGAAGGACAGAATGAAAGTCACTCATCTAAGAGATACAGGTAAAAAAAAAAAAAACTCTGGGGGAAGTTTACTTATTCTATTTTCTTCTTCTTCTTCTTTTCTTCTTTTGAGACAAGACAAACTCACTATGTAGTTTAGGCCAGCCTTGAACACACAGTTTCTCCTGTCTCAGCCTCTGAGTGCTGGGATTACAGACTTATGTTACCACACTTGGCTTTCTTTTTTCATTTTAAAACGATTTTTAAATTCTTGCAGAAACAAGATCAATGCATTCTTGTGCCCACCCTGCCTCATGTCCTGGAAGGGGCCAGTGCTGGGTTCTGGATCTGTGTTGGAGCTGGCCTCCTTGTGGAGTGGCCATGAGTGAGTCACTCTGAGACTCCACCTCTTGACCTGGGAAGTGGGGGGTGGCGGAAACCTACATCCTTCAGGGCTCTGGGTGCACAGCGACCTCAAGCAGGTGGCCCTTAAGTGGCTCCTTGCTCCCAGCTGCCTCCTGCAGGTCTGGTTCCCACTGGACTCACACAGTCAGTTGCATCCTCAGCTACTGGAATGTGGCCTTCATCCTCCGCAGTTTGTCCTGAATCTTCCGAGAATGCTTCTCACTTGGGATCTGGTGGAAGTTGGCCCTGTTGTCCGCCGCTAAGATGGAAATGTCAGCTCCGCTGAAACGTGCGATCCTTTGCTTAAGGTGTGCCTGCAGCTTGGGGTCAGGACTGAACGTATAGGGGTTCTCTTGGAACGCGTGGACCTGGCTCACCACCTTGGCTATGTTTCTTTTGTGGAGAAAGAGAAGAAATGTTAGTTTGTGCAAATCCCAGAAGCTGTGCTCTGTGTTCTTAGGAGCTGGTCAAACCAAACCTTTTTAAAAGTACAAACATCAAAGGACAGCTTTTCTTTACTTGCTCTCAAGGCCAAGCCTCATGCTGTGAGTGGGCCTGTCAACCCATCTGCACACATTTCACACATGTTTATTGAGAACTTTCTGTGTCCGTTCTATTCGAGCTGAGAGTTGCAACATGGATAAAACTCAGTTCTGGCTGTTGGTGGTTCTGAGTCTGGGAGGAAGAGTGAGATAGATGAGGGGTCCTCTGTATGGTATCTTCACCACCCTGTGCCACAGTGTAGCCCCCAGCATTTACAATCCAGGGAGTTCCAGACACTGTGAACTGGGGCTCATCCCCCTGGAGGGGGCTGGTTGCACACTGTGGCTATATACCCTTAGGGTGGACCAGGAAAATCGAGGAGTCAGCGCCCTTCCTGCTGCCTGCCCTGTGGACAGGCTCTCTTACCTAAGTCTGGCTGTCCAATATGTCTAGTACGAATGATGTTACTTTTGTTCATAAAAGATAGCCACATATGCATATATGTCCACATGGAATTAAGAACAGATGTCAAATCTCCACCAATGCTCTTTGAGATGGTGACATTACCTCTCATTTTAATTTCCTTGTTGTATGGGTTTTTCCCCTCTTTAAATAAGTAAATGTGCATTTCTGGTGCATATTAATTATTCTTTTAAATTGATGACTATCTAAAAGGGACTGCTACATGGAGAGTTTGGGACTCATTGCACATAAGGTCCTCTGGGCCTTTGCCCACCCAGTGAGGCTAAGGCTTGAACAGGTTGCACTTGGATGCCATGTGGACAATGGGGAAGAGGGGCAAAAAGGTGGGAGGGGGTAAAAGGGGATAAGGGAGGGAAGGAGAAGGTGAGGTTGATGTGGGGGACCTGGAAAATAACCTTGAACAGGGCTGGGATTCTGAGGAGATGCTGACCTAGCTAGCTCCTCTTGAGTCAGAAATGAGACCCATACTTCTCTGAGGGCCGTGAGCTACAGGGTGGGGGGTAGGTTATACTCTGGGCTGCCTCAATATTGCATATACCAATGAATGGGGGTAAAGAACGCCTGGATCCCAAACAGGGAGATCACCCACAACCACAGCAGTGGGAGGCTGGGACAATGGGCTAAGATTTTGGAGGAGTGGCTGGAGCCGACCCTGGTAGAGGTAGCGCTGGAGCTCTGGGATGGTTGAGGGCTGAGCCAGGAATTCTGAAGAGCAGCAGGGACTGCTGCATCTATAGGCTCTGCTGGTCAGGCTGAGCCTCCCTCACCTGAGCTTGCTCCATCTATGGGCTCCGTTGGTCATGGTGAAGCCGCCAGTCTCGAGCTGCTGAATGTGCATTGCCAGGAGGTGGGCAGAGGGCAGGGTAGGCTGGGCCCTGAAGCGCCGTCCTTCCATCAGACACAGGCTGTCGCTCTTCAGGAATACCTGGCCACCCCAGGCAAGGTTGTGGGCAGGGAGAGACAGAGGAGTGATCAGCCCAAGATGCTCAATTCAGTTCCCATGGGTGCCTATACTCTGTGGGTGCATGGGGGATACACAGCCCCTAATAAATATTCAGTCCAGAATGAACGTGGGATTTCTAGACTGTGGGCTGAAAGCCTGGACATCTTATGCTTGCTGGCATAAAACATGACATTGACAGAAAGCTTTATGTTTAATTTAATGCTGTTCAAGTGGCAAATTGCTTACTCTCTGCTGGGCACCAGTAAAGACCTAGTGATGTGACCTTTCTAAACAAGCTTGTGCTGGGTACTGCAGGGCCCATGTCTCTGTGTGTGGGCTTGGAGGTGAGGGTTTTTTTTTTTTGGGTGATGATCAGCCCTCAGTCCCCAATTCCCAGAGCCGTGTCTTGGTGTGAAGCTGGGCTCAGGCATTTGTTGCAGGCCCACAACAGCGGCATCAAGGTTCCTGCTGCCTCACTGTGGGAAATGGATGATCATTTCAACATTTCCTTAGCTCATGGGGCCACCTCTGTGGCAGGTGCAAGCTTCCTAATTATCCCTGGGCGGCAGACCTGGGTCCCATGGCCTGTGGGCACCTATAGACTGTGCTGGAAGGTGGGCACCTTTGCCCCGGTGGCTGGGCTGTGCAGTGTGTTTGAGGTTCTAAGATACAGATGCTGCTGTGTGAGCACCCTGAGCTGTGCACAGCCAGTCTTTCTGTGGCAGCTCTGCCATGTGCTGGTACCTCCACAGCTTTGAGTTCCTCCATGACCTCTGCAATCTTTGCGGGCAGGATTCTCCAGGCCTGAAATGGAAGCACAGATGAGACACCTGCTAGCCTATGTGCTAAACCTACACCCACAGCTCAAGGCCTCGGATGAACGATGAACGCACAGGGGACTGCCTCACGGCCAAGTGCTCCAGTCCGCTCAGGATTTGCATGGCTGTCGCAAAGTTCCTCTGTTCATAACAAGACTTTGCAATGAGCAGAAACTTGGAGAGCAAGTTCACCTGCAACTGAAATGAGAAAATGACAGATTCAGTGTCTTTGAGTAAACAGGTCAGTGGTGGAGCACTTGCCTAGGATGCGTGCAGCCCTGGGTTAGATCTCCAGCACTGTCAAAACAACAAAACCGACGAATAGAACCTGTTACCCCATCTTTAAGGCACAGAAGGATAAGCCACATTTGTGTGGAAAAGGAGGCAGGTGGTGGATGAGGTCTCTGAGTAGTGGTCAAGGGCTGGGGATTTAGCTCAGCGGCATAAGTGCCTGCCTTGCAAGCAGGCAGTCGTGAGTTCAATCCCTGGTACCAATAAAAAAAAAAAAAAAGAAAAGAAAAAGACAAAAAAAAAAAAAAAGTAGTGGTCAAAGGATGGGCATTACCAGAAACAGTAAAATCTACCGCAACAAACTTCCACAGGACCCTCGCTGTACCAGGAGTGGGACAGACAGGAGGGGTCACTGCTTCTGACTGGGCAAATATGCCTCTGCCTCGGTAACATGGAGCTACTGCATCTACATGCAAAAGAAACAAATGGACAGCTCTTTGTATCCACCTGCTGAGTCCCCACCAGGAAGGGATTCTGCATAGTTCAGGGCTTCAAAACCATCTGCCCTCAGTGATACATTTGCCTGTTTGAGCAGAATGCCCCATGGGCAGCAGATGAGATTCTCATTACTTTCAGAAAAGCCTCTTTGGGCTACATTCATGGACCCAGGTCCTGCCCTGTGGGCACCTATAACCTGGAAGACCTCGGGAAGATTCTGGAAAGTTCAGCTGACCCCTCCCTTCTGAGCTGCCTTGTCCTTGTCACCATGCTCATCGTCCTCTAGGTGGCGCTAGAATCACAGGCTCCAGTGGGTCCTTCTTTCATTTTTTTTTTTTTTTTTTTTTGTCTTTCTTTTTATTGTACCGGGGATCGAACTCACGACTGCCTGCTTGCAAGGCAGGCACTTATGCCGCTGAGCTAAATCCCCAGCCCCGGGTCCTTCTTTCACTGAGGTGGTCCTGTTGCAGCTGAGGGTCACCCAGAGGGCTCCTGGAGGTCAGTCATTTTAAGTCTCTTGAGGGATAATCACTTGCTCACAGTTTTTAAATTAACATCCCAAAGTTTTCTTCTTAGGCTTAAATAGATGGAAAATAATAATTTCCAGCACTTTTCCCTTCCTTCCCCTCCCATTTCTTTTGCATTACTCAGGACTGAACTGAGAACTTTTTCACTGAGCTACATTCCCAGCCATTTTCTCTTTCTTTCTTTTTCTCTCTTTCTTTCTTTCTTTTTCTCTCTCTTTCTCTCTGTTTTTGTTTTGTTTTGAAACAAAGTTTTGCTAAATTGCTCAGGCTGGACTCGAACTTACGATCCTCTTGCCTCACCTCTCACAGTGCTATCCAGTGCTTTTCTGATAAAACTTTTCCGTAGCTTTTTTGTTTAAGTATTAAATTTTTAATTGTAAAAAAATCCATAGTATAAAATTTACCCTCTTAAAACTATTTTTGGAACAATCCTGTGGCATTAAATTGCCCTGGTTGGGCTTGAACTTGCAGACCTCCTGCTTCAATCTCCCAAAATGCTGGGATTACAGATATCTACCACCATGACCCACCAAAAATTTTTTTAAGATGAGGAACTTTAGACTCTTTGTTTTTGTCTTTGCATCTCACCTTCCAGAGTAGACTGTTTTTGTTGATCTCATTGTGTTCTCTGGCCAAACTGTACGTATAACATTTATTATCATTATTATTTTGCAGTGCTGGAGATTGAACCAAAGGCTTTATACATGCTAGACAAACACTCTAACACTGAGCTACATCTCCAAGCTTCTTAAAAATTTTACTTTGTAGCCGGGGATTTAGCTCAGTGGTGTAAAGTGCCTGCCTGTGCAAGTGTGAGGTTGTGAGTTCCATCCCCAGTACAAAAAAAAGCTTTTTTTACGTTGTGACATAGTGTCGCTAAGTTGCTCAGGCTGGTCTCCAACTTGCAATCCTCCTGCCTCAGCCTCCTGAATAACTGGATTTACAGGTGTACATGCCATGCTCAGCCCAAGTTTGTTTGTTTATTTCTTTCTTTCTTATGATGTTGAGCCCAGGGCCTTTGCAATGGGCTACATTCCCAGCACCTTTTTAAAATTTTTATTTTGAGACAAGATCTTACTAAGCCTAGGCTGGGCTTGAATTTGTGATCCTTCTTCCTCAGCTGCCATAGTGGTAGAATTACAGACCTGTATCATTGTGCCCAGCTCCAGATTCTGTATTTCAACAGTTCTGTAGATTGGAAGGTGTCTGACATCACAGTAAATAAAACACAGAGCATCAGTGTATATTTTAGAATGTGACAAGCATGTTGGTTAAATACTCATTTGCAGTTTTATGTGCCTGATGAGATTGCTTTGGTTTTCTGAGCTGTGGTGGGGTGCAACCTGGAGGAGCTTGTTTCTTGGGTCCATGTCTGCTTTAAGGAAGCCACAAGCCCTACTGGCCATGAGTGCCCACTGTGCCCACTGAAGTTACCATCCTCCCCAGCCTGCGGAAAGGGCTGCACTGTACAGAAGGAGCCTTGTATCCTGATCTTGACTTTCTTTATCAGTGTGTCTGTCTTACATTATGGAGTAAGACCTGGTTGATCTCACTCCACAAAAGACAAGCTATGCCGACCTCAGGGAGAGGAAGCTGGAGGCCTTTGCAATAGTGTGCTCATTGTGTGAAGGCGAGGCCTTCTGGACCTGGGCATAGTGTGGGGGAGATGCTGGCCTGAGGCAGGTGACCGCCCTCCTGGGCTCCCACGACCTGCTTGAGAACAGATACGTAGATCAGGCTAAGAAGCCCCTGGTCTAGCCCAGGCCCATGGGACACAGGAGAGCCTGGAATTGGGCCCATATCAGCTGAAGTTGGACCTTGGTCTTAGACAGAAACAGCAGCTGAGCTTCATTAATTTCATAAACTGCCTGAGAGCCCACTGTGTGGGATGTGATGGGAGGAACAGGAAGGAGCAGATGAAGTGGGCACATTGCTGCCTTAAAGATCAGGGCACTGGGGACAAAGCCCAGCCCTGACACAGGCTCAGGAGGGGTGAATTTTGACTGAACTTTGTGTGAGGAAGTGTATAAGTGTGAGGGTGTGTTTGTGTTGTGTTTGTGAGGGGGAGAGAGAGAAGGAGGGACAGACAGAGAGCAGGGAGGGACAAGAGAGGGAAATCGATTCTGTGTGTACTGGAAGGTGTCTGTCTGAATGTGAGGGACTCTGTGTTTGTGTGGGACTCAAGTCTGTTCAGGGCCAGTGTCTTACTACTGTGAGTATGAACGTGAAGGACTTTTGTGAGCACTGATGTGCAGTATCCTTGCAGAGAGAGTCATATGTCCTGTGTCTAAGTGGTCATGGCACTGGAGCATCCCTAGTAGAAGGAAGAGACACCATCAGGCTAGAGATGTGACCACTGTGCGCTGGCTCTGCCCTTCCCTTTGGCCTTGGGTAAAGTGTGGCTCTGAGGGACATGAAGTATGGATTCTCTGTACTGGTAAAGAGATGGACTCTTAGTCTCACAGGGCCCACCACCTGGCCCTGAGGCATGTGGACACTCTCTGACCTCAGAGCCATGGAGTCACCTACCTTGGAGGTATGGCTGGTCACTATTTCAGCAGCCACCCAGGTACTGACATCATCTGCATTTCTTAAAAGCTGTAACAGGTACTTGTCCTGGACGTAATTGGGTAGAAACAGGCTACAAGTTTTGGCAGACAGAGACTCCGAAGAGCTGGTTCTGGAAGAAACATGAGGTGTGTCATCACCTGGGGCTATGTAAAGTGGCCCTACCCAGACTTAGGGCTACAAGGGTTCTGTGCAGAGTGGGATGGGATCAGGCCCTCTTTCCCTGGGGAGAGACCAGACATCTCCCTTCAGCCAAAAGCATCCACAAGACCCTTGGGAAAGCCTCCCAAGACCCTCCCGCCTGCCCTCTAACCAACAACTCCCAGGCCACCTTAGGAGTACATACTCACTTAGGAATGGCTGTGCTTTTGTCCATGACACCCAGGGCCCGTGAATTTAGGAAGTGTACAGGATGGCACTTTTGGAATAATTCCTGTTGGAGACAAGGAAGTAGACAGTCAGGCCACTGTCTCCAAGATCCCCATGGCCGCAGCAGTGTCCTAAAGAGGACTGAGGTATTTTGGGGACCATCTCAGAACTGGGCCAGAAGGGTTCCCTAATGTTCTAGATGCCCCAGGACTGATGACATTGGCCTGATGACAGTAGCATTGCTTTGTTACCTTCCTTGTGACATCAGGGCCCAGGATAGCAGAGACCGAAGGAGGGGTGGGCAGGGTGCTGGCCAGCATAAGGGCAGGATGGCCTGGTTTCAGCAGAGGGGTAACCTGTGTCCTGGGCAGCCAAGGGGAAGATCTCACTTCTCTAGAGCCCAGAACTGCCCTCCTCTTGGGTCCCTTTAGATTTTGCAATAGTTCCCTGGGACTGCTGGCTCCTCCGGTGGTCCACTGACTCCTCCAGGAAGTGTCTATTAAGGTCCTGTGATGCCAGAATGTCCCCGAGCCTGTCCTGTGAAACCTGTAGTTGGCCTGGATAGGGGGGTCCTCTGTGGTGCCCATAGCCTCCATGTACCTGCTGCAGCAGTGTCAGCTGAGTGAAGAGTTGATGTGTGCTGTACTCAGTCAGAAAATAGGGCCCCTTCTCGTTGGCTTTGGCATAGGGGCCGTAGAAGTCTTCAAAGAAGCAGGGTTTGGGCAGGGCAGATGCGATGGTGTACTGGCGCTCCTTGTGGTGGGGCAGTGCCAGCCCATTGCCCCGGGGCAGCCTCCAGGGGAAGCTCTGCAGGCAAGCCAAGTTACCAGGTCAGGGTGGTGAGGTGAGGACAGGCTGAGTCCAGTCCAGGCCTCTTTAGACTGGCTCAGCCGAGGGGCATGTCCTTCTTGCATGTGCTTGGTGGTGCAAGGACATGTGTCCTGTCATTTTAGCAGATCCCCCATGGACACAACCCTGAAGTTTGGGGCTGTTCCTATATATTGGTGGAGAGAGTATTCATTTCCCTACAGTGTTTCTCCTACCCAGGTGTCCTACCTGAGGGTCAAGAAGGTGTTATAGTGGGACCCACCTCACATGACTACCTGGATGACCTCTCAGCTGTCCTCTGTCAGGTCAGGAAGTGCTACCTCAACAAGGTTGGTACCTGGGACATGTACAGGGAGTATGTATGCGCACAAATGCACGTTTACATGTGCACATGTGCACACATGTTGATGTGGATCCATGTGTACATGCCTATGTATATGCATATGTGTGCATGTGCACAAACATGAATATGTGTGCATGTGCATGCCATGCCATCCACAAGGGACTCAGGGAAATGCACCCGCCTGTCTACAGAAGTCCTCCCTTGGGAAAGGCCCACACCTTTCGGGAGATGCCATCTTCTGAGAACCTCTTGCAGAGGGCATTAAAGGGTCTGGTATCCTCCTCAGCCTCCTTGGGGTCCTCCAGGTCTGTGCCTCTAGTGGTGCCATCAGCCCGCCGGTCAGTGCCCACCTCCAGGAGGCCTAGCAGGTGCTCAGCAGAGCCGTCCAGGGGCAGAATCTAGACAGAAGCATAGTGGTCACTGTCTTCTCTGGGTGAGGGCAATGACTCCCTCTGTAGGAACCTGGAGCGCTAGCCATGTTGGTCTGCGCAGCAGTCACCTTGGAAGAGATAAAGTCTTCGAGGCGCTCCAGCAGCCCTGCATTCCTTGTGAAGTCCACAGTGTAGCAGTCTTCCACCCAGGCCTGTAGGACGCAAAGGCTTCGCCTGTAGATCTTGGTGAAGGTTGAGGTGGGGTCCTGGTGGGCCCTGGAGACAGACAGGGTTTCTCAGGCTGGGACCACCCAGCCTGGACATGTGTGGGGTGAGGGGTACATGGGGAAGTCTGAGGCTGATAAGCCAGGTGGCCAGAGCTCCCTGATGCTCCCTACTCCTCCCTCCAGCCCCTGCCCAGAAGCCCTGGGATGTTCTGGCCAGCTAGGACCTCCTGGATTCCTTTCTTTATGCATTCACATTGGCTCTACCATCCTTACCTTGGCCCTCTCCAGTGAGGTTCTACCTATTTCCTCCTCCTTGTGAAGGTCACCTGGGGCTGCTTCATCCTTTGCAGGGGCTAAACAAGGTGCCACAGGAACCCACCCAACCTGACTTAGGATCCCCACATGGGTGGTACCTGGACAGAGTGCTGCTAATACGGTCTAGGAGGAAGTGCAGGAAGTCGTGCGGTGTGCAGAAGTATCGGAAGGTGTACAGGAACTGCTGGACATAGCCCTCAAGGAAGGCGTCACTGGGGAGACATTAGCAAGACCTTGGGCCTTGGACTAGCCTCCCGCCTACCTGCCCTGGACTCATCTGTGCCACAGTAAGTGGGGAGCAACCTGAGGTGAGTGCGTGAGTGTGGATGTATGGAGGGGTGTGTGTGTGTGTGTGTGTGTGTGTGTGTGTGTGTGCTGTGTGAGTACATGGATGCCCTTTGTTGGGAGAACCATGGGCTAGAAAACCTCTGGGAAAGTAAAAGGGAAGCACTGATCACACTTGAAAGTTCAGTGACTGGAACAGGACTTTCCTAACACACACAGTGAGCATCCCTTGTGCCATACTTGTGTACCATTAGAACTGAGGTGGCCAGCCCTTGGCACTGGAGTCTAAATTTGCAGAGGGCCAGTTGTGATTCACACACACACCAACTCACACATGTGCCTACTACTCACATCACATACATCCTCACTCTCCACATATTATGCATCCCGCATGCACGCATACCACATATGCATAACTACACATCACATACATCATACCACACTATACCCCCAACAAGCCCCAAGTATGTACTCATTGCACATGTACACCACATACATTGTAAACACCATACATATGCACATTCCCCCATAATTATATGCATTGTACCACACAGTACCCCAACATATCACACTCGTACACCAGATTACACAATACTACATAATATCCTTACCACACACCACACATGCATGCCACACAAATACCCCAACATGCCCTGCACACCATACATGCATACCACAAACATACAGTATCCCCATACATGCAAATGCAGCCACAATCATAGATTTTATACTACATGATACCCCAGTATACCACACACACATGCATACCAGACTACACAGTATCACAAAATAGCTCCACAACATGAGACACACGGGCACAACACATACATTATACATATCACATCACAGTATCCCAATATACCCCAGACCTACTACACACATGTGCATATATGTGGCTATTAAATATGCACACACCACAATACACACCATACATCATACACTGAACCTGTACACATACACAGTCTCACATGTGATTTTCTCCTCTGGTAGCCCAGAGACCCCATGATGGACAATGCAGTACCATCTTGCAGGTGAGGAAACCTAACCTTAGTCTGAGGGTCAGCCTGGAGTCAGTGGCTGGCAGGAGGTTCCAGCATGGCCAGAGGCAGCCCACCTCAGGGTATGAGGTTAATGGGGAAGAGGCAGCAGCCTCAGGAGGCCTGTGCCTTTGTATGGGGTGCCTTGTTCCCTGGTGGTCCTCCTTGAGCTCTGATGACATCTGCTGATCAGGTCCAGAGTCATCACAGCCTGTACATCAAAGGGTACCCCAGGGCTCCACAATGGTGTGAAGACTGGGCAAGGCCTCCACCACTGACTTGGAAAGGCAAAGGTGGTCTCTCTGGTCAGGTCATTAGGTGAAAAGTGGTGCTGTTGGGTAGGGCTGGAAGGTTAGAGGGCGCTAGGTGGGAGGTCCAAGATCCCAGTCCTGAGAATGACCTTGTGACCCTGGGCAAAGGTAAAGGAATTCTAGGGTTCTTCCGTGGTACAGAGCAAGAAAGCACACTAGCGTTTATCACTAGGGGTATTGGACACACCAAGATAGTGTTCACACCACAAGAGGAGGCTGCAGAAATATTCCCAATGAGTGAATTAAGCCCAAGAACCTGATAGGTAATTATGGGGGGGATCTGACTTAGTGAATGAGATGGAACCCAGGCCATGCCTCAAACTCCAGAGGGTGTCTGCGTTGGAAGCCCATGTACATAACTGTGCAGGCTGTCCCCAGCTCTCCCACAATCCTTGTTAGCAAACTCTGAGATGTAGCACTTGGCCTATGGTGGAGGCCACTCTGGTCAGCAGATCAGCCATGGAGTAGGTGACAGTTAACATAAAGCAACTTCAAATCCTTGATTAAACATTTTTCTAAATTAAAGGCAGTACAGCCCATCCTAAATGGGGGCTTCTTTTCTTTGTCCTGAATAAGTTGTTTCCTTTTTGCTCTCAAAATCTCATGGCCCATAGGTTCAGGGTCCTGCCCTGCCTCCTGGACACACCTGGAGTAGAGGTAGGCCATGAGTCCCAGTGGAGTGCCAGCTTGTAGGACGCGAGCCTTCTTCTGCCGGCCCCCACATGGGTGCTTGTTGACATTGTAGAAGATGAGGGAGGAAGACTCATCCAGCGGGCTGAAGTCTAGGGTGTCACAGGGGGCTGCTGCGATGTTCACAATCACCGGTAGGGCGCAGGGTTCCAGGCCCCAGCGCTCTGCGTACGTGACCTGGTGAAAGGGGCAAGTCATTGCCACTGGCCAGTGTGGGCAGGGTGGGAGTGCTTGGTCCCCCAGACCCTGACCCTGAGACAGCAGGGCTTGTGCACTTGGTTCCTCACACGGGGTCTGTATTTATGATCAAACACGGGTGGACACACAGCATTGACAGTGGGGATACTGTCTGAGTGTTACTCGCCCAGGATGGGAGCAGATGGGCTGTCACTTGCCTGCAGGTACTTCTTGACCAGGCTGAGGAATTGCACTTTGGACTTCATCTCCTCCAGTTGCCCTCTCAGCTTGGACAACATGGTCTTCACATCAGAGCCTGTGGGCAGAGCAGAGTTGGCACAAGGTGGTTCCCCTGAGCCCATGCAGAGGACTCACCTGTGATGAGCGTCTGTGCAGGGTTACCTTTGTTGCGTTTTTCCTTTTGTAAAAGTTTCTGGTAGAACTTCAGGGTCTTTCTATAGTTTCTTTTCTCTATTATGAGCTGCTGCTCCAGCTCCTAGGAAGAAGCACAGTGGGTGAGATCAGGGTAGTCATGGCCTCAGGCGCAACTTGGAGGGTCCCCAAAAGGCTACGATTGCCCTGATGAGAATTCAGACACAGCTTTTCCCTTCGAGAGAAGGCAGACACAGCCTCTGTGCCTGTACCCAGGGGCCTGTGGGAGTTGGACTTGGGATTCCAGGGAGTCTTTGGTTAAATTATTTCCACAGGAGGAGCATGGGATGTGGCGCACAAGGAGGAGCTAGACAGAGGGCAGAGGGTGAACACAGGCAGATGCCTAGCCAATGACCACTCTGGTTCCTAAGTAAACTACTTCCTATGATGAGGGTACAGTAGAGTTGTGGCTCTGCGTCAGGTTAATCAAATAGTCAGCTGCAGTCAGTGTTCCTTGGTGATGGCAGTGACTCAAGACCAGAGGCTACTTCCTCTTGTCTCATGGTCTTCTAGTTAACTGGGTGAACTGGTCAGCAAAAGGAAAAACAGGCAATATTTTAAATTTACATATTTGGATGCCTTCTTTCTGGCAGTTCAGTGGCTGTCTTCCACCACACAGGGCGTTGGCAGTGATGGTAGAAGGCAGCCCCATGATGGTTTATGTTGCTAGGTACTAGGCAGCTGCAGAGGTGACCAAAGTAGAATCCAGTCTTCCTGTGAAGTCAAGAACTCCAAGACCCCTGGTCTCCCTATTAATAAGTTGCCTAGGCTGGCCTTAAATTTACAGTTCTCCAACTTCGCCTCCCAGAGTGCTCGGATTATGGGTGACCGCAGCTGACTATTTGATTAACCTGACTCAGGGCCACAACTCTACTGTACCCTCACCATAGGAAGTAGTTTACTTAGGAACCCATCCCCCATGGCTTTACCACGGGGCTCTCCTCCTGCTCCAGAGGTCATCTTATACCACGCTTCTTCCAAGCCATCACCCCTTGTCATCATCATCTTCTTCTTTTCCTTCTCTTTCTCCTCCTTTTCCTTCTCCTTTTCCTCTTCTTATTCCTTTCCTCCTTTTCCTCCTCCTCCTCCTCCTCTTTCTTTTTTTGGTACTGGGAATCAAACTCAGGACCTTGCACTTGTCAGGCAGGCACTTATGCCTCTCAGCTATGTTCCTGGCCTCACTCCTTGTCTTCTGAGCAGATGCAGATATGACAAATCTGTGGGGAAGAGCTTATGGGCTCCAAGACATTTGGGAACCTGGATGTGGCTCCACATGTTGTCCCTCCTGCCTGCTAGACTATGACTCATGCAAAGTTGTAATGGTCAGTGTCAATAACCTTCACCTGTAGAGTTAGTTTGACATTTGTCAGCAACACTTTGCAGGATATTGAACAGCAGAATCTTTGAGGAATGTTTTGACTGATTTTAGATACATCTACATTACCTAAAATTCACACAACATAAGAGACAGTGGAGAAGAAAACACAAGTGTTGGCATCAGTGTCAAAGCTACACTCTGGTTGACAAACAAGCATGGGCCACAGACTGACATTTGGCTAGATCTAAAAATACGGAGGGAGTTTTGCTAAGTCACTAAATTGTCCAGGTTGGGCTTCAACTTGAGATCCTCCTGCCTCTGCATTTCAGACTTCTGAGATTATAGTATTACCATGACTAGCTATATTTATTATAGAAGTAAATGTAAACTATTGAGGCACAATGGCTAATGAATTTAATTGGATGAATGGCCTGTGAATATTAGGGTATGTAAGCGAAACAGTGGCCAGAAGGAAGTTGGAATAATAAATCAGAAAAAGAAGAAAACAGGGATGAACTGAAGCTGCTGCCATCTCCCAAACACTGAAAGCAAAGCCTGTTTCAGTAGCAGGAGAAGCAAACCAAACACCCAGTGCAGGACATGGGGTGGTTCAGGCAGGGTTGGGGCATTGTATCTGCTTTGTGGGGATACTTGGAGCATGTGCATGTCATATGCAGCCACAGCAAGTGCTTAGGAGCTGAGTGAATGCACTGCAGGTGGTCAGTGCTGCTTCACTGTCTCAGTGAAAGCCTGCTGGCATATTCACTCTTCCCTGGGTTGCAAATGTTAAATCTATTTCTGAGTTGTATGCTTGGTGTGTTTGAAGCATATATGGTGGGGCTTCAGAGAGACCAAGCAGCCTGGCTGGTCTCCCATAAAACACCTGCCTACATATAGAAGAGGGCACAGGAAATTCACCCGTCCTCTTCCCCAGGCTGGTCGAACAAGGAAAACAGGATCATACTTAGTGTCTAGTCCCCTTGCCCTGTAGCTGACATCCTCCAGGTCAGATACTGTGATTCCCAAGCAGGAGTCACCTGCAGTGTGACGCTGGGTGTCCAGCTGGCTTGTCTAGTGTTTATGTCCCCCCTGTACCACCAGCTAACTGAGGAAGGTTGAGCCCAGTTGCAGGGTCATAACCAAGTCAGAACAGACACTGGCCCAGAGCTGTCCTCAGTGCATTTTCAAGACTCTATCAGGGAACAGAGCAGAGGCCACCATTCTGGATCACCTCATGGCAAACACTTATCTCCATGGGCCCTTTTCAGGTTATCAAAGATCCTGGAACAGTTGTGATCCTCCATGCCAGAACAGTCCAGGCTGAAAGGCTGCTCAGTATCAGCTATGCATGTTATGAGGGTGCCTTGCTCACTCTGCCACTTACCAGATGCATCAGGCCCTTACCCCTGATGCTTCCTGTGATGGAAGGAGGATGATGGGAAAGAGGCTGTAGCAGTGCTTTCTGCGAGAGTTGATGTGTTTTTTGCTCCTTGGAAAAGTGGGGACAAGTGGAGAGGCAGTGCCCTTGGAATATCATCTACTCTGGGTGCTTCAGTGTATAACAGCAATATAAGATGCAGAGGAGAGAGGAGGACCCACAGAGCACAAGGAAACAGCCAAAGGCCTCTTGGAGCCATCAAGAATTAGCCTCTCTGCGCTTGTGTCCAAGGCTTGGACCCTAATGCGGTGATGCTGAGTTCCCTGTCTGGTCTATGAGGTACAGGTATTGTGATCTTCCATACTGGATATCTGGGCCATCTGCTGTGAACTGTCTTCTCACCAGGTTCCATGGTGCACAGAGGAGCCTAGTTTTCAATGAAGTCCGGGGAAGTAAGAGCTTCAGAGAATGTGACCCCAGTGCCTACACCTAGGGATGCTGGTTGCTTCCTTGACCAAGTAATGAACTGACATGTTGATGGCAAGAGGAAACAAACAAAAGCAGGGGCTACGTGACGCTGGTTACGTGGCTGGGGAGATACACACTTGTGGTTTAGAGCTTGGGGTTCTGAGTAGGCAAGAGAAATTGGACTAAAGAGAGATATCAGGATCGAGTTGCAGATGGGGTCCCTCTTGGGACTCAGCGCCCAGACCTGTGTGGCTGTAATCTTGCTGGGGTCTCCTGGTCTCTGGTGGGGGACCCCATGTACACAGGCAGCCTATCTCTCTGATCCAGGTGCAGCTTCTTGGGACCCATTGACTAAGAAGAAGCTTGGGCTACTCCTGACCTGGAATCACACTGACCACCAGAGAAGCCCATGCCAGGCCACACTGATCCTGCATCAAGCCTGCACTGGGCCTTCCCTATGGAAGACACTTCTGGTGTTCTCATCTCACAGGTCTTACTGCCCAAGTGCCAGGGGCCTGAAAGGGGCAGCCTTAACCTGCCAATCCCAGTGGGAGACACAACCTGAAGCCCATGGTCACAAGGAGCAGGTGACCTCTCAACTGCTTGCACTTGGAGACCATATACCCAGCTAATGTGAGAGAAAGGCCACTTCTTGCCTCCAAAATGTGGAGAATATGCTGATGAGCATATAGCACTTCCATAAAAGGACATATAGATAGGGGGCACCCGGGTGTTTCAGGAGTGGATTCACCCTAGGTGGGGGCTCCAAGTGCACCCTTAACTTGCCGCCTGGGGTGACCCGGAAGCACTATGGTGCTCTTGAGACCACAGTGATGCCCCACCCCTCACTGGGCAGAAGCTCTGGACTCACCGGGCTCTGGGCTTCGGGCTCTGGGTGCCCACCAGCCTTTTGTCTCCCCAGATCTCTCACATAGTTGTAGACGTCAGCCCCGAAGCAGTCAGCCTCGTAGAAGGCACTGGACCATCCAGGGCTGCAGCTCTGGAACTCAGCTGGGCCCAGAGACACTGCCTGGGTGCCGTCTTTGGGCCTGCCCAGCTGGCCCATAGTGTCTTTGTCTGAGGTCCTGGTGGCTGGTTCCAGGCCCAGGCCTTGTCCATCTACACCTGCTTCGGGCTGCTGCTCTCGTGTGGCTTTTATTGATTTCTGAGGCCGAAATCCCACCTCCAGGTTTCCTTGTGAGAGTGTGTCCGAGTCTATGTCTGACAGTGTGGTGGGCGAGCACGGGCCTCCATTGCCCCGGGCTGCAGCTGGTTTTTCTTTGCCTTGAACGAAACAGATGAGGATCAGTGGGCAGCAGTTCTATTCATGGAGGGAGGCCCAGATGCCTTCACCAAGACTCCCCCCCACCCCCCCGCAGTGGTCATGCTGGGCAGAGCTTGGGGGTAGTTTTTAGGAACTCTGAGTAGCTTTTGAAAAGATAGTTACAGCCAGGAACAATGCTTTCCCTAGACTACACTTTCTCTAGATAGTTATATGGCCTTCTTTCTTCTTCTTCTTCCTCCTCCTCCTCTTCCTCTTCCTCCTCCTCCTCCTTCTTCTTTTCTTCTTCTTCCTTCTCCTTTTCCTCCTCTTCCTCTTCTTTTTTTGTCTCACTGTGTAATTCAGGCTGGCCATGAACTCAGTGTGTAGCCCAGGCTGGCCTTGAACTTAGTAATCCTTCTGCTTCAGCCTCTTGAGGACTGGGATTACAGACATGCACCAATGCAACTGATGACTTGTACAGTTTTCAAACTTCCTGTGGACCTAGACCTTGTCCCTAGCCCTGGGTCCTTTGTCTGTCTCATCCAGACCCACCTGTGCTTCTGGAGCATTTAGAGTCAAGGCCAGCTCTAGTGTGTCCCAAATCCTTTAGGATACTCTGGGCTCTATCACCTTTGGATGCTTCTGCTTGCACACTGGCCTCTTGGCTCCCCTGTCTGGAGCAGGTGGATTTCATGCCTTGGGTCTGCTTATTTACTCCCTGATTTGCTTAAATAGGGATGATGCCATACCAAGTCCATGTTATTGGCCACTAAACATATTTGGGTGATAGTCACCCTACCTGCTTGGTCAGCCTGTCTTGATTTCTTCAGACTAGATTTGCGGAAATTACAGTTTTCATTGGATCTGGGAATCCTGGGCTAATATTCTGAGAAAGCCAGTTGAAAGTGTTTAAACACCTCATATGAAGCCAACACTGTGTTAAAAGCTGCTGAAGGGAGGGAAGAGGGAGGGAGGCAGGTATCACTGCCTCTGCCTCAAGGCCCCAGCTCCTGGTGTCCCTTAGAGCAAGGCCTCCTGATGCTGACGCGCTTCCTGTAACTAGCCTGAACAGAGGGACTGGAGGACCCCACTGAGACAGTTATAGCTTCCACCTCCTGTGGTGTGGGTTGTTTCTCTTACCTAGTCCATGCAATGAAGGTCTTTTGCTGGAGGTTGCACAGCTGCCTGGAGAACTCTGGAGCTGAGACCCTGTGTCCTCAGAAGCGCTGACAATCAGAATGACTGGTCAGACCCCCTCCACTCCCTTCCCACTGGATGAGGCCTTGGGCCTGTGCAAAAAAAGCCCCCAGCTGGCAAACACCAGTGGGGAATAAGGCCTCACAGGCAGTAGGGCACTGGCTTCATAAAACTCCATAAAACACTGGCTCCTGCAGGGGAATCCAGGCATAGTCCAGACAGACCACCCTCTCACACTCATGGAAATGCATGTTGGTATTGGGGGCTGAGGTGGGTACATTTTCCAAGTGACTATTTTTACTTCTCATGTAGGCAGGAGAATGTCAGAAAGCATGCTCTCCCCACTGCACCCCAATAGCAAACACACATCAGCAAATGTCACATCCTTGAGGCTGTATAGCTGCTGTGTGTGGGGGGGTAGGTGCAAGGTGTGGGGGTGAGGCACGAGAAAGAGAGAGTTTAGGTCAGGAAAGTGACCACAAGCACAACACACATGGGTATTGGGGTCCTGGTCTGCCACAGGGCCCTGGGAAGAGAAGCCTGGGTCTTGGGGTCACCCACCTCTCAGAGGGAGAGGATGGTCCGTTGACCACTTTGAAGAGATTCTGTAGCAACTGTTCATTCCAGTATAGGTCACAGAACTTCTCAGATATGGCACCACAGAAAGTGGCAAAGGTGAGGTCTTTCAAGGCGTAAATATATTCCCCTAGTTTTGCAAAGTGACAGGGCAAGTTAAGATGTGGTACTCTCATTCATGGTCACAGGGAAGGGATGGTCTTAGGGAGATCTGGGCTTGGGCAGACTCCCAAACACTTCCCAACTGAGGCTCCCAGGCACCAGCTCTTTGAGCTGCCCTCACCATCCTGGTGGTCCCCAGTCCCCGTGCCACCCTTTATACAGAATCCCCGCTGATGTCCCGTGGGCTGTGTCTACACCCTTGGCCTCTCCCTGGTCCTCCCGGGGCTCATCTTGGTCCCTGTGGCCCCCATACCCATAATTAGAGCCTCCAGCCCGTTGTCCAGGTAGCCATCGAAGGCAAACTCCTCCTGGATGAGGCGCATGGCCTCCTGCAGGGAGGGAGAGGCTGTCTTCTGCGAGGGGGATGAAACGTCCACACTGGATGGACACAGCTTGCGATCTGCTGGCCGGGCTCTTTCAGGGTGACTGTCTGGACTCCTAGGGCTGCCTGGACTTACTGCAGCCAGCATTGGGCCCCATGTCACTGGCTGAGGACCTTCAGGCTCGGCAGCCTTGTTGTTTCTGGGTGGCTTGCATGGGTGATGTGGGCCTTGGTTGGCTGAGGTGGGCCTTAGAGGCAGAGTGGTTGCAGGTGGAACCTGCCCATCCTGCCCTTGTTCAGGAGGCAATGCCAGTACCTTATGGGGTGGGGCAGGGGCAGAAGAGATGGGTATCACTGGTGTGGCCCCTTCCTGTGGGTTGGCTGGTTCAGGGTCTGGTTGACAGGAGCATTCCTGGGCCAAGCTGTGTGGCATTGACTCCGTGACAGATTCCAGGGATTCTCCCTGTAGCTCTGGACTGGGTGCCAGCTGGCCAGGTGTCTTTAGGCTTGTGGCCCCAGAGAGGTCCTGGGATGCCTTGCTCCCTTCATCCTTCCCACCCAACTGCTCACTTGTCTCCTCCAGCTTCTTAGTTGACCCTAAAGACAAAGCAAGCTGATCCCTGTGAACAGAGAGGAAGAGAGAGCTTGGGAGGGCTACCCATGCTGAGGATGCTGCCAGCTGGGTTGGGAGCAGGGCACCCACCTGGGCACACCTGTGTCTTTAGCAAGGATGATGGGCTTAAAGTGAGTGGCTTCAGAGGTGAAGGCTGAAGGCAGTTCTCTGGCTCCTTCGCAGCAGGAAGGTGGGCTGGGCACAGGTGCTGGCATGACCGTGAGTCTGGTGTCAGTACCGATTGGCAGGAAGCCTGGTGACAGCAGGTGGTTGGGAGGGCACGAGGGGGAAGGAACAGTTGGGGGGCCTGCAGACACCATACTTAAGGTCCTGCTGGCTTGTCAGGCCCAAGGCTGGGTGCTTCATCCTTTCCTACACATCCCAGAGGAACTCTTCTGCTGGGTTGGCCCAGGGGTTAGGAGTGGGGAGTGACCAGTTTCTGGGGAGGGCTGGAGTGAAGGTACAGGCCAGAAGACTGGCCACAGTCAGAGGCTTGGGGCTGCTGGGAGGGATTTTGTCCTTGGGCCCAGGGAAGGCTCCCCAAGAAAGTAGCCAGGTAGAATGAGAGCTTCTGTGACAGAATGTGGATGGGGAGTGGCTGGAGTGGGGAGTGACTGGAGCAGGGGTAGAGAAAATCTGCAGCTGAGTGCTGAGTGGGAAGGAGGCAAGGCCAACGATGGCCTGGGTAGGCTCATGGTTGAGCTCTGGACCTACAGTTCTGGGCTCCTGGCCATGGGTTCTGAGTGTCCTCAGGGTGGACTCTGGGGGTGGGCAGTGTGGGTGTGGGGCACAGGGGCTGGTGGATAGGAAGAGCTGGAGGAGTTGGGGGCATGCCCACCTGGGCTGGGCTTGGGAGCAGGTGCTGTGCAGGGTTTCAGTTCAACCACTGAGAAGGCATTTTGGAGACCGATGGTCTCTTCCTCCTGGTGAACCTGGGGTGGAAGGTCACAAATGGCTTGTCAGATGACAATGGGGACCAGATGTACAGTGTGGAGCCCTTCCCTGCCATGCCCAGTGACACAACAGGCCAGTCTGAGGAGCTTTCTGTGGTACAGGGAAGTCTGTCCCAAGATTTGGAGCACCCTGCTTCAGAAAGCTGTGGTAGGTCTCAAGGGAATGGGTAGATAGTAGTGGGATGGAACCCCCAAGCCAGCTGTGGGGAGTTCAGTTCCTTGGGTGTGGGGGTGCCTGTCTTGCCATCCTTGGGATGGCACCTGCTCCAGATTCATCCAAAAAGCTGACAGGAACCTTTGCAAATGCTGTTGGCTACCTAAGGGTCACTCTGCAGGATCCTAAAGACATGGGCAGAGAGTGGATATCCTTCCCACCAGGTGCATCACACCCACACATGGAGTAGTCAGCAGCACATTCAGGTCCTCCAAAAGCTCATTTCCCCCATGAGCAGAGAAAGCTGAGAAAACAGTCGTGTCAGGAGGATGGCTATTCAATCCCTCTTCCTATATTCTCTCAGTCTATAATACAGCAGGAGACAAACAGGTTTCTTGGCTAGGCCTTGGCAAAATAAAGTAACCCTCCGTGGGCTTTGAGGTGCATCATCTTACCTTGCAGGTGGACACCCGCAGGTGGGCTAGAATCTTTCTGCTATCCATGCCCCGCTGGAGAAGGTAGCTCCCACAGACCTAAAAGCAGGGAGACCATCTGGGCAGGCTAGGATGGGCAGCTCAGGCACCAGCTCCTGCCTTACCAGCCCCAATTTCCCTGATGCTTCCAGGAACATAGATGGATGAGCCACTAGGGGGCCCTGGGGTCTTCTCTTCAGGGGCCCTAGCTTGGGTAACCTTGATGAGAGTTCACTTCTAGGTGTCTGGTCTTGCAGTCCTGCAGCTGTGAATAAAAACTGAACAGAAGAGCCACAGCTGTTCCCCAGCTCTTGTCTTGCTGACAACTTCTGCCATATGTGCTGGAGATAAGAGACAGGGATCTAGGACACGGATGGGGATAGAGCTTAGTGGCACAGTGCCTGCCTGGCAAGCATGAGGTTGTGAATTTAATCCAGTACCAAAAAAAAAAAAAAAATGAGGGGTATTTATAACAGACAGATATCATAGAACCATGGCAGAGAGGGTCAGAATCAGTCTGTGTGCACACAAAACCAAAGACCCCAAACTTGCCACCTACCCAAGGCAAAAGATGAATTTTGTAGACAATTATAGTTATCAGCAACTTTTGACAGCTGACTCCATGCTATCTGCCCACAAGCCCAAAAGTAGAAAGCCATTCCCTTCTCTAGCTGACAGTCAGAAGCCATGAGTAGGTCTCCAGTCATAGTGCAGTTACCGTGATGGCCTCAGCTGCAGATGGCCGTTCTGGAGCACAGCGCCTGGCCATGTCCAGGAGGAGAGTCTTTAGCCTGCGTGGTAGGGCCAGCTTTTGGTCACGAGGGACGCTGAACTTGGCTGCTGTCCACAGGACAGCGGCCACACAGTAGACTGAGGCCTGCGAGGGGAAGAAAGAGGAGGGAAAGGTGGCAAAAGGGTCACGGGAGCCAGAGAGGCCCAGCAAACCTGTTCCCAACTGGAGCCCCAAGAGTACAGCAAAGAACAGCCCCTCTGAGGGGTAACCTACCCAGACCTAAGCTCCATCCCAGTCAGGCCCACCATGGAACCCTGGGGTATGGCATGGAAATCTGCACATTTAACAAGACCCCCACCACTTCATCTTCTTCACCCTAGGGACTGGCTGGGACTCCCTCCTGGCCAATGTGTGCTGCTCAACAGATAAAAACTGGGTCTCACTATACTTACAAGTGAAATAAATCATTTGTAAATATCATATTGTTTCCCTAGTATAAAATAAATACATTAATAATAAAAAACTGAAAGAGTAATAAGATCCAAAATATACAATAGATATTGTAATAATGATAGGGAAAGAAAGTTCTCAAAGGGAAAGAACAACTGGGATGGGGGAAAGGAGAAAAGGAAGAAAGGAAAAGATTATATGGATGTAGGTATACATATGCAACTGTGTGTATGTATATGTGTGCAAGATAGATAACTCTACTACTAACTCTCTGTTAGTTCACTTGAAAGAACAGTTTGTGCTAACATTGTCTGACTGATCATTTTTGATGCCTAGATCTTGTAACCTGAACAACTGTTTCTAAGATAACAGTATGCAATATATTAACTAGTGTCGATGTTTTACTTGTTTTGAAATTCTGTATTATTTCTATCCTTTTTTGTTTTGCTTCTTAAAAAAAAAAAACCTTGAGTCTCAGACAGATGTGTCCCCCATGTCCACATGTCTGTCAGTTGCTCCAAGTTCCACTGATGAAGGGATGCACATTCCATGTTCGCTGTGTTTTTTTGTAAGTTCCCACTGAAGGATCTCCTGGTTCAAATCAACTCCTGCCTTCACAACAATCTATCATGAATGGGTGCATTTAACAGGAATGCAGGATAGGGTTTTTGGCCTCAGTAAGATCAAAACAAGATGCACAGGGGAATGTCTTTGGTTCTGAGCACAGTCTTTGCTGAGTCAGAAACTCACTGTTAAATACTTATTTCCTCAAGCTCTGGGCAGTTCACAATGTGGCCGCTACAGACACAACTTGCTTTTAAGTTTAGTTGATTTATGAATGTTTTCTCTCTCATCTAGTTAAGTCTGGCCTATTACCCAAACAGTAGTTGAGCCTTGATATGTAGGATTCTCGCTTCCATAGCGCAAATGTTCCCATGCAGCCAGCTTTCAGCCTCCAGGAGGCAAGCAGTTGGGAAATTCAGCGGACCAAAGAGCCTGAGATCACAGATGCAGTCAATTGTGTCCACATAATTAGGAAACTATCAGTTTTCTGAGTCCTTATTAAATTTTAAAACTTTGAGGCACCTGTAGATTGATATACAGTTACTAGAAGTAGAGATCCCGGGTACTGTTCACCTGGTTCCCTACATCAGAGGCATTTTGCAGAATTGTAGCTCAGCATCAGAGCCAGCAACATGACACAGATGGTCACAAGTCAAGACATCTATCTCTCCTCAAGGGTTCCTCTTGCACCTTCCAACTCCTCCTGATTCCTGGCAACTATTAACCTGTTCACCATGCTAAAATCGCATCATTATAGGAACATTGTATAAATGTGCTGTACAGTGCAGTGTATAATCATTTTTCTTTAAGTATACTTTACTGGATATTCACCCAGATTGCTGCATTAATATTTGATTCTTTTTATCACTGAGTAGAGTGCTATGCTTGGATATGCTAGTTTGTTTAACCAGTCATTCACTGGAGGACATCTGGGTTGTTTGTAGGATAGGCACAGTGGTTGGTGGTGAACCTATGGTATGTGTGCCGCAGCAGACTGCTGGTTATCAATGAAAGTTCTAAAAGTTTTGCCATCAGTGGTTCATGGATACAATAACAAAGCTGCTACACTCATGCACAGGACTTTTTGTAAACATAATTTTCATTTCTTTAGATAAGTGCCTGGAGGTTCAAATTTTTGGCTTATTCAGTAGTTGCATGTTTAGCTTTTGGAGAAACTGCCAAGCTGTTTTTCAGTGACTTTATTCACATTCTCTCTAGCGATGAATGAAGCTTTCTGCTGCTCACATCTTTGCAATATTCAGTGTGATCACTTTTGGATTTTAATCATTCTAATAAGTATCTCATTGTTTTAATTTGCAAACTTCCAATGCCATCAGATACAGTGCATATTTTCTTTTGCTTGTCACCTCTGATTCTCTCTGGGGAGGTCCTGCCCAGGTTAAATCAGGTTGGCTGTCTTATTGTTGACTTTTAAGACCCGTGTTACACAGCATTTTCTCCCAGTTTGTGGCTTGTCTTTTCATTCTTTGTGGTTGTTGTGTTTTTATTCTCTTAACACTGCCAGTTGTTTTCTTTGTGTATTCTTTTGCTGTTGCTGTCCTGTCTTGGTTGCTGAGGTTTGTAGCAATGTTAACACTGGGTATTGCCAGGCCTCCGACTTTATTCTTCAATACTGTGCTGGTGATTCCAGATCTTTTAGGTAATTTTTTAATTCTCTGTCAACATCCCTAACTTGCTGCGACCTTGATTGGGACTGTGCTTGCTCTCTATATCAGGCTGGTAATTTAACACTTAGTCTTCTTCTAAATAGTAGGGAGTATCCCTGAATTTATCTGGATCTTTTATTCTTTTTTTTAGATTTTTGGATAGATAAGCTTTATTTGAATATCTGCATGTTATGTAACTTAATTCAACCAGGAAGTTTTTCCCAAGGATTAAAGTTTATTAAGAAAACTTGTTGCCTCCCTTTAGTCTGATTCTGAATTTAATTGACAAATATATCATTATTAGAAGTCTTCACTTACTGCTCATTTTCACCACACTCATCTCTCAAGTCTTTGGGGTGGCACCCCTCATTTCTCTGGAATTCTCTTAAATTGTTTTACAATGACAACACAAGGACAAGGTTTTTATCTGTTGCTCATCTCTACCCCAATGAAAAGCAAAGTCACATCCTTCGATTTTCTTTAAATTGTGGCTGTTTGTAAACTGTACACAAAAGGAATTTAATGTTTTAAAAAAAATTTTGGCAGTGCTGAGGGTAGAACTCAGAGGACTTAGTGTGGCAAAAATACGGTATAATGCTACAACAGTAATTCTTTTCAATGTGATCAGTATTTTGGATTTTTTTCTTAAAAAGTTGTTATTTCTCCAAAGAGAAGCTATAAAAACACTGAAAAAGCACTTGAGAATCCTGGGCTAATAGTTGTGATTTACAACTAAGCATGAAATGTTAAATTCTGTGAGTCAGAATTTCTGAATGATTTTTATATTTTGGTAAGAACTTACTATGAGGAACCAGAAAGATTTAAAGGTTTTTCTATTTCAGGCAGGGCATAGCTCCATGGTAAAGCATATATTTAGCATGTACAGGCCTAGGGTTTGATAAATCACCCCTCCAAAATTCTATTTTTTAAAAAGATTTTCTATTTTAACTTCAATTAAGTTATGAAAAACTGCACATTTGTTGACAACCATTAACAATGAGATTAATCTGGAAGGAAGCGATTTGCATGTTAGGAGTGCCCAGCTAGCCATTTCATGCAAATTGTTGAAATCTTCTTTTTTTTTCCAGCATATATTTTAAATAAAAGTGCAAGCAGATATGATTAAAAATGCACATAGAATAGAAAGATGTGAAATAATAAGTAAATATCCTTCTTCCATAACACTGCAGATCTGATGTCTTCAAAATCCTTAAACAGTCCTATGAGTAATTCACAAACAAAAGTTGACCGGGGAATCTTTTAACTACAAACACTTTTCATGCCTTTAGAACTGTGTTGGTGATACCATGTCATAGCTCGTTACAGAGCAAAGCCATGCAGTTTTCTTCTTCATAAAGAGTATTTCAAAAGTAACACGCACACCGTGCTCAGACAGCCACGGCCAGGAAGTATCTCCGATGCTACTGAATCTAGGGCGGCTCCGAGGTATCACCAGAAATGCTGCAGTGCGAGGGCTCCTTCATGGAGTGCTGTCCCAGAGGTTTCTCTAAGCCAGCAATATATTCACTCAGTCTCTCTCAGTGCTGGGATTAGAGGGTTGTGCACAGAGCTCAGGTTGTTTTGTTAAATTTCTGCATAGACAATACAATCTGTTCTATGAATGACCGTTCTGTTTCTTTCCTCTCAGTCTGTATTGTACTTTTTATTTTCTTTCTTATCTACTGTGCTACCTAGGACTTCTAGTATGACACTGAAAAAGGGTGGGAAGGGATATCCCAGTTTTGTTCTTGATCTTAAAGGGAAAGCTTCAGGTTTCTCATAATGAATTATGATGTTACCAATTAGTTTCTTGTACCTGTTCTTTATCAAGCTACGGAAATTCTCTTCTATTCTTACTTTACTGAAAGTTTTTGTTGTGAATGGATGGTGAGTTTTGTCAAAAACTTAGCATTATGGGTATGAACATGGTTTTTGTTCTTTAGTATATTGATGTGATTTATTGCATTAATTGATTTTCAACTATTGAATCAGAAAAACCAGATTTAGTCACTTTTAAATTTGGATAAAGTTCAATTTACCGTCAATGCACTGTCTTTTGTGAAATAGCTGTACATAGTGCTTTTGATGTCATGTCTAGGAACTCTCCTTAGCTCTTTATTCTGAATTTTTCTTTGATTTCTTTTGTCAGTATTATCCTGTAATGCTATACTTATATCTAAGTTTTTAATTTTATTTTTCGTGGTTCTAGGGATTGAACTCAAGGCCTTACACACGTTAGATGAACATTATATCACTGAAGTATTTGTCTAACCCTAGTATATTTTGAAGTGACTGTAAACTTATTGAAATTGTTAATTTTTATTAATACAATCAATTTTTGAATACTTATGTTTCATCTTTGTGACCCTGAAAAATTTACTTATAAGTCCTGGGAGAGTATTTTTTGGTGGAGTTCTTGGGATTTCCTATATAGGCAATTATGTCACTTATAGTCTTATTTCC